ACTCACATCTAGTGGGACCTACCAAAAATAAAAAATCAAGTAGACCCCACTCCATGTGAGTATTATGTACACCTTTATGTACATTTATTATGTACTTCTAGCATTTTTCTTTTTTTTTTTACTGCATTTCTATTTGTAATTTTTATATTAATGGATTAATTGCTAAATAAATCTTAATCTTTTTGTGTTTGACAATTTATTCTAATCTTTGGGTAATTACAATATAATCTCGACCTCAATTTACTTCTTGCAAATTTGGGTGCAGAGTGATTGATTTTAGAGATTTGTGGACCGATTTTGTGTCTAAGTCTTCCATTGACACGAGTTTTTATGTCATCCACGTAGCAAGTTGACAATTTTCATGTATTTAATGTATATCCACGCACAAAGCCGAAAATTCCAAGTCTATGTAAGCTATCGGCGATGAGTCTCCTCCTAGATATGGAGTGAACCGGTAAATATGAGCTCCGATCTGTTCGAACCGCCTTCAAATCGACCAGTTTTTTGAAGGTCCGACCGGTTTCAGGTTCAACTTGCAATAAGTAAATTGAGGTCGAGATTATATTCCAATTACCCAAAGATTGGGATAAAATTACCAAACACAAAAAATGTTAAGGTTTATTTAGTAATTAACCCTATATTAATTAACGTGTGCCCTAATATATTGTCACGATACTATTAAAATATCAAAGTTGTGATTAATTTTATTTGTATGAAATAGCATTTAATATAATAATTATATATATGGAAAATGTTATGGTCTTGTTAATGAACCATTCCGTCGAGATTTGTAACCGTTAGATCATCATGTAAGTGTCGGGATAGTTGATCTAACGGTTACAAATTCCGACAGAATAACTCCGTAACGGGACCACAACATCTCCCTTATATGTATATAATGGATTTATATTGATAATAGATCAGTGGAAGTAATCAAATAGCCATATATATACGTTTCCTATCACTAAATAAAATACACATTTAAATTTGTTGATAGGTTAATCGAAAATTTAGAAAAAATGTTAGAATTTCATCTTACTTAAACATTTCATGTAATTCTACCAAAATTAAAAAATGAACATGTAACATTATTATATATTGTCTCACAAAATTAATATCACTAAATATTTTTAAATTGCACTAATTTATAATATTTTATTTTTCTTATGCTCACTTATAAAATTTTAAATCAATTAATTTATTAAGTATTTTTTATTTAATTTTCTATTTCTTTTCGGGATGAGATAAAATTTAAAAGCACCGCCAAAACCGTACGGACCCACTCCCATCACTACTTTGACCAGAATTCCAGCTCATCATAATGCACGAAGCATGAAAAGACCGAAAAGCCCTTCTCATTTCATCTAATTCCCCCACAATCACCCACACTTTCATTACCTCTCTCTGTCGTTTTAAAATCTTTTTACTATTTCGTTTTTTCACTCACTCAGTTGCGAAGAAAAAAGCAAAGAGACGGAGAAACGAGGCCATGGCCACCGCCGGCGGCGGTGCTTACAGAAATGGCGCACACAGGGCTCCGAACCTCCGCACCTCGTCTTCCTTCAAATCGAGGAATCCGCCGCCCGTCCGTCGCAGCAGCCCCGCCTCGATCGGCACCGGAGCCGATTCCGGTGAGTGACTTGCGTCGGACTTGTTTCCGAGCGTTTATTATCTGAGCCGATCTTGTTACTTAAAAGCACTGTAGGATGCTTTGGAACTTGATCGTTCTGTGTATGCAGCATGGGCTCCGGTTGGAATGTGGTTTTTGCTGGATGAATCTGATATTGTACTGTTGATTTTAGCTTTGTTTATGAAATAATGCTCTATCGATTTATTAATTTTAGCGTAATTGTGGTTTGTGTGTGTTGTGTGTTTGTGTGGTGGTTTTGTGTATTTGGGATTACTGCTTATGATTGGGCATTGCTTGGAACACTTCAAATCGGAATGTGATTCTTCCGTTATTGAGTTGGATTGTTGGGAGTGGGTGAGTGAGGTTTACGGAGCTCGGGTGATCAGTGGGGTCCCATTTGAATTTTGTTTCCGGTGGCATTTCTTTCTCATGGTATTCCTAATAGAGATGAAACTCAGTTGGTTAATCGTCTGGTGAATGGAACGAATATTCAGCTATGAATTAGTTAGTATTGCTGTGCTTTTTGGGGGACACATCAATCTACTTTTAACTTCTCTTCTTTACTGGAGCTACATTACTACCTTAGGTGGCTAAATATGATCCTTATATTACCTTTTTCTTTTGTGGTAGTTTCTGGAAGAGTCCGAGTTGCTGTGAGGTTGCGGCCTCGGAATGCTGAGGAGCTGGTAGCGGATGCAGATTTTGCTGATTGTGTGGAGTTACAGCCAGAGGTTCCAGAATTGTTTTTAATCTTCATCATATTGTAGATATTCTACATTTTTATTTTACTTTTTCACCCAGCTGCTGTATAATTTTTGTTTGTTGCAGCTGAAAAGGTTGAAACTCCGTAAAAACAATTGGGATTCAGATACTTATGAGTTTGATGAGGTCCTAACTGAGTTTGCGTCGCAGAAGCGTGTATATGAAGTTGTAGCCAAACCTGTTGTCGAAGTAAGTATTTGAGGCTACTTCTTCTGTTCGATGTTTATAGAGGTTTATGACATAATATTATCATTTTCGGCAGTCCCAGTATGTTTAAAATTAATCCTAAAATGTTTATTCCAGCATATTTAAAGTTTACTGCTAGACATCTATGTTCAATTTGAATTTTATTGTATCTATCGGCATGTTTTGCTGCTACCATTTATTATGGCTATGTTTGGTGATCAAATAAGCTAACTTGTAGCTTATTTGGTTAGCTTATAAGTTCCTTGTATTCAAATAAGCTTCGTTTGGTAGGACGAGTGTTTTTAAAAAGCTCGAGCTTATCTGATAAGCTTTTTTGGGTAGCTTTTCAAATAAGCTTCTTTAAATTTTTATTTCAGCTAGCTTATCAGTTAGTTTTACCCAACACTTTTATCATATAAACTAGCTTTTCAGCTATAAGTTATAAGCTATAAGCTATAAGCTCAAAAATCACTTATAAGCTATAAGTTAGCTTATCAGCTAGTTTTACCAAACATAGTCTATATTTTCGGTCTTGCATAGTTAATATTATTTTATATCAGGTCGAGCAGTGTGTTTAATATAGTTTTTGTTTGGGTTTTTCAATTTTTGCTAGCAGGGACTGGTTAGATTTGCATTGCAACTCTTGACCTTATATTTGGAAGTAATGTTATTACATTTAAAAGATTATGAGATTCTTGTAAATGCTAATTTAAGGTGTTTTTATGTGCCAATTGCTATCATAGATGGTCTGCCTAGTGCTATAATGTCATGTCCCTCGATTTTCAGCAATTTTAGTTTCGTTTATTTTTATCCACAAAAATGGATCATTCATTATTAGTTTTCCATGGTTCCTTGAATCTTCCAGTAGCACTGTCGATTATTTATTTTCATTTCCTTAATTTCCTCAGAGTGTTCTAGATGGTTATAACGGGACAGTGATGGCCTATGGTCAAACTGGTACTGGAAAGACTTATACTCTAGGAAAACTCGGTGATGAAGACACCTCTGCTAGGGGTATAATGGTTCGTTCCATGGAGGATATACTTGCAAATATTTCTCCAGAAACTGATTCTATCTCAGTTTCTTACTTGCAGGTGACATTTAAAATCCACCATGATATGATTTATCTCTAGATGAATTTGTTTTGCTTTATTTGGTTATATAGTAGAGGAGTTCTTCAAATTCAAATGTTGTTCTAACTAAAAATTGTTGATTGCTGTAGCTTTACATGGAAATGATCCAGGATCTGCTAAATCCAGCAAATGATAATATCTCAATAGTTGAAGACCAAAAAAGTGGTGATGTTTCTTTGCCAGGGGCAACTGTTTTGGAGATCAGGGACCAGCAAAGTTTTGTTGATCTTCTGCGCGTAGGGGAAGCTCATAGGATTGCTGCTAACACGAAACTGAACACTGAGTCTTCCCGTAGTCATGCCCTTCTCATGGTAAACTATAATTTTTTTTCGTGTTTACGTTCGTTCGTTCTTCTTCTTCTTCTTCTTCTTCTTCTTCCTTTTTTTGTCTTTTTTTTTTTTTTT